TAGGTTGCGTCAGTTGAGATGCGTTCTACATTGGAGAGTCTGCTAGTGAAATCTCGAATCCTTCCAAGGAACATGTAATTTACACAAAAAGACCTAATAATCCTATGGAATTGGAAAATCTACGAGTTAATTCAGCAATAGCAATATATGCTATTTTCAATGATCACCAAATTGGTGTTAAAAATATCAAAATAATTCAGAAAGGTTTTTCCAACCATAAAAAATGGAGAGTAGCCGAAGTATTTCACAAAATGCTAAATTTTTCCGGCACTGAATTAGAAAGAAGGCCTTATATTCATTTTCAACACAATCCACAAATATACACTCCATTTTGGATTTACCGGAAAAGCCCATTTCTCTTCCTTATACAACTCTCAAAGAACTACTTCCAGATTATGCAAAGTATACAAATTTCGAATGTGGTAAACGGAGATTTCGTAAAATAATTCGTGAGGATATAAAAAATTCCGCTACATTACGTCACCCCATCCCAGTGCATACTCAAGGTTGTGCAGTTCACGAAGATGGGCACAAGTATAGTTAATGTTTTTCTTGTGGCAAGTTCCACCCTTTTAGTTCATGCATATTTCGTAATTGTAAGTGCTTTAAATGTGGTGATGTTGGACATATTCAGTCAGTTTGTAATACCTCTGTTCATCTTGCTGCAACTAATATTAAATCTTGTGATTCTGATTCTATTAAGTTGAATATTTATGATGATCATTTATCTTTATCGACGATTTCAAAAGACAGTTTCGAGTCATATAGCAGTGCAGAGTTAAATGAAACTCAGAATCCTTGCGAGAAAACAATTTCTAATGAATCAACATATCAGATTTCTCATGCTATTGTACCAGATATGATTTTTCCTAATGATTCACATGTTTCTGATAAAATTTCTTACAAATCTGGTGAGAATATTTCGGATGAGCCTAATCATGATCAAAAATCTGATATAGTTTTGATTGATGCTGACTTTTCTAATGATCCTTTACTCTGCAATGACATTCTTAATAAATTTGAGGAAACTATTTCAGAAGAATCAAATCGTGATGTCATATCAAATAATACTTGTCCTCATAAGGCATTTGTTTCTTGTGGGAAACTTGTTCGATGCGAATCACGAGTATTAAATGAGCTCGATTCTGATTACAATTCAGATAATTCCATATCAACTGTTGTTTGTCCTTATCATAAATTCACTTCCAATGTTTACTCTAGTCAAATTGAGAAAGATGTTTTGAATGAAGCCACATTATTCATAACTTGGGGATATGAAGATCCGACATTATTTCGTGGGGGAGGATAGTCTATGGTTCATATTCTAGGTAGTAGTTTCAGTACTCACCGGCATGGTGATTGTTCACAATCCCAGAAATCAAGTGAGTCTGTTCCGATTTCCGTTGTTAATTCTAATACTAATGAGTGCATCCTAGATAATACAGAGTCTTTATCCAATACACTGTCGGACAGACACAGGATGAACTTAAGAAGAAGACGTGCAATCAATTACAGACACCTGGACTCCAATTTAAGCTGTGGCGGATGTGGTGTTTGAATGAACTAATGATTGCTCTGTACTTGCTGAATTCCTGATTTCGAATTCTAAATACAATAAATTCGTTAGTGGTTGTGTAGTACTTCTTGATTTTTAGTTCATACTATAATTCAATTACTCCTAATTATCATAGTGTATTTTCATAAATATGATCTAGCCCATATATTATGTTTAATCTCTGGCCATGTAAATCTAATAGGATGGAGATTAATTGAATTTCGCAACTTGAAAATTGTTTCTACATGTATGATAACTATTTGTAAAGAGATTCTTTGATTTGTTCAACATTTTAGAAATTAAAGCATTAACTAAGTTTATGTGTGATTTGATGACACAATTAATTAATCTTAATTTGAAAACTGGGATCTGTTACACTCTTAACTTTCTCTTTCATCTGCATATCGAAACGGCTACGTTAAGATGTTGATGAAGGCAATTTTTTAGAGATATTTTCCCAATTAATAGATATGAAAAGCAATAAAAAAAGTAAATGTCATAATAACAACTGAACTGTTTTTATCCTCCTATTCTTCTTTAATCCCCTGCTTATTACGCAACTTCATTTGATATATTTTTTAACTTTGATGTGGTTTTCACGTGTTTAAATTGTTGAACATATATTTTGTTCTAATTACTTTTAGCTTCGAAGCTGTAAAACAATTTTATAAGCAACAAAGCAATTATCCACCTTCATCCATTTGTTTCGCAGATAAATTCTCTTCTTTAGAGAGAAGAAACTGATTATTTGTATCGAATTACAGATTTACATGTTCATAGTGAATCCATAGATTCGATTTGGAAATTTGAATTCAGTTCACTTATTGGGGATTCAGATGATAATTATTTTCGGAAGGGGTTTTGTGGAGATTTTAGTAATTTCAATAGTTGAAATCATGAGTCAATTGAAGCTAGACCACCATGAAAAACCTGGGAGCACTGGAAGGCCGTTTCGTTCTAGTATGGGACTCCTCAGCAGTGCACCTCCACGATCCAGTTCCACGCGAGATTCGAATCCAGGACCTATCAGCGCCTAACCACTAGATAATTGTTTTATTGAATTTGAAACATTTGAGACTTCAGAAGTTTCATTTACGTTTTGACATTATGTGAAAATATTCCACTATTACATCAAATAAGAATCTTACATATTAGGTATTCATTTTGCAACTTATTTCGATGAGTGAATGAATTTTTAATCTGTTATGTGAAATGTAGGTTTCGTAACCAAGGTTTGAATTGGTAATTTCAAATAAATTGAGAATTAGGTAGATTGTTATAAATAAAAATGAAATATTTACAACATCTCAATGAGTACAAAAATTGCCCATAGCAGAATTCGATGGAGAATGCTGGTGGGTGGTCTATGCTCCTACACAATGGGTAACAGGCGTAAGTAATTAAATGAGGATACATACGAGGATATGAAGGCTGAAGAACCTTTTACAGTTTGGAAGATCAAGCGATATGTTGCCGTTCAGAATTCCGTAAAAAGCTATCAAAATCACAATTGGGTGACAATATTAAATGTTATGTGCTCAATGAGTGACAATCAAACTAAATCAACAACCAATAGAAACTGTATCAAACAGTTATTTTTGTTTGGTGGTGTTTCGAAATTTATTATGTCTATATCAGAATATTATTCTGTTAAATAGTATATTTCCTCCGAAAACTGAGTGTTGAGATATTTCAGCACAATTGGATTCAGTAAACTGAGAAATATATAAGCATTTTCAGATAACCACTTTGTCCGCTTTACGCTGAACTGTTCAGTAGTGTTGGATGAATAAAGAAAATAAGCCTAAACGATCATTTTTACTGGCATTTAATAAGAAAGCTTTACTACAACCCTGTTTCTTCTCTAGATTTCATCCATATCGTCGAGGGCACAACTCGGAGTTATCATTACTAAGTAATTTCCGTTATAACTAATTCTTAATACAATTGCCCAGTAGACAGTGATCAGTCATAATTTGTTCTTTGATGAATTATTACTATATTTTAAGTAGTATTTTTGAACAAACCATTGAAAGGCTACAACTGGTCCTACAGGAGGCTCTTTCTTTGTAACAGATTTTAAGGAATCATCTCCTATTCGGAGATTCTCATTGGCTTGAAATATTAAAACAGAATCGTTTCGATTGCTAGAACGCTGATAAAATAAACAGTCTTTTGAACGCCGTGAAAAAAAGCAATTCACGGTTTTTTGATGGGTTTCTCTTCCTCTAAACGTGAAATTTAGTTTCATACAATTGAACGTGTTAATTGATTCACTCATATCAGGATTCTCGCTAGACAAGATGGCTTGCCAACTATAAAATCTCAATAAGTTCTATAAAAGATGTTCTACTTAATACCCTTTACTCCGTGAATAAATTAAGAAGTATCTCTGTCTGCACTACATTATGGATGTGAAATAAGAAATTTTAATGTTGAAAGCATTAGCAGGAAACTATCATTTCATTGTGTTTTCAGAAAACTCCATATGTATAGTAGAACCATAGAGTAACCAAAGCTCAGGTTAGGAATAAGCTAGCTAACCACAATTTTAACCATATTAAAAAACGGTTAACTTTTATTGATTTAGTTGGTCGAAACACGGGTTTAACCAACGATTGCTCCAACAAACTATACTGATTAGCATGGATTTAAATCAGATATTGGTTAAGAGTGCTTAGACTAACACGTAACAATAATGCATCAATTCACTCATTTAACCACGTGAAGCAAAACAGAACACATAATTTTAGTCTTTAAAATAATCATGAACATCGGTTTGTAAGCTTAGACAACACCTTAAAACTGGTTATAGTGCTGTAGATTTATTTGTTTTAATCTTTTCTATAAATATTTAGCTCAATGTCACATCAGATTAAATTTTAAATTTAAATATTACCAATATTTCTAATTCTAATGAATTCCTGTAAATTTTATTGGCTTCTGTTTTATTTTGGTTTTTATCGATTGGAAGTATAGCAGATTGTATTGATATATATATATATATTCTTTTTTTAAAACAAAAAATAATGTTTTAACTTAGAATAACAAATTGAACTGCCTATATTTCTTTGTTTATTCACTTGATGTGAATACTATCGCTTATATATATATATATATATATATATATATATATATATATATATATATATATATATGAGTTTACATAATTTGATTATTTATAAATATAAACCAGAAAATAAAAAAAGAAAAACTATGCATCACCCTTGTAATTTCACGTCTTTACTCCAATCAGTAAGTGAATTATAATAAAATAAATTGTTTCAAGCCAACTGATTGGCTATACATTATAACTAATAATATTTTTGTTTACTTACAATTGTGAAATTAAAAAAATAACACTTTTTATGTATATATATAATAAACAACAACTGATTAATGAGAAGACAGTAATAGTATGAAAATAATTAAAATATTGAATTAAATGTTTACATGTTCTAAACATTTATATATTCGTATAATTTTATTATTTTTATTATTACATATATTATGTTTATTTATTATATATAAACAATTTACATATCAAAAAAATAATTATAAATCAACTATTATTGGTGAACATTATCAATCCATTACACCACAAACATGTTATGATATATGTCAATTAATTATAAAATTACCTAATAATAAATTCATTGATTCAAAATTTATTAAAAATAAATCATATAAATTATGGCCTAATTTTAATGCAAATTTAATGACATTATTTAATATTAGTTATTTACATTTACCTGGTGGATCATGGATAGATTATTCTAATCAATATAATATTGATAAAAATAATCAAAAAATAAAAATAAATGAAACATTTTGTAAAAATATATCCGAATATGGTGTAGTTATAATTATACCATTAAAAAATCAATTTAAACAACTTTATATTACATTATCTACATTAATTCCTATATTACAAATACAAAAATTATGTTATCGTATATTTGTTATTGAACAAATTGATAATGAATTAATAAATAAAGGTAAATTAAAAAATATTGGATTTATTGAATCATTAAAATTATTTAAATTTAATTGTGTCATATTTCATGATGTTAATTTAGCACCAATTAATTATTTTAATTCATATCAATGTGATCAATCAACTAAATATATGGCAATACATTTAAGTGTTGGAATAAATACTAATAAATTTAAATTACCATATAATACATATATTGGTGGTGTTTTAAAAATTTCAACACATCATTTTATTACTGTTAATGGATATTCTAATGAATATTGGGGTTTAGATAATGAAAATGATGATGATTTTGAAAAACGTCTTAGTACTACTGGTATAAAATATATTCATGTAAATAATAAAATTGGACGGTATATTTACATACCATATACTTCAAAATATTCTTTACAATCTTATAATTTAAAAAAATTATTAAATAGATCAAATAAAAGTATCAATTCTGATGGATTAAATGATGTATCATATAAAGTTATTTCACGATCAGATCAACCATTTTTTACACATCTTCGAGTTCTAATAAAACAAAGTTGAAACTTTTTTTTCTTTTGATAAACAAGTTGATATTATAAAATAACCCTTGAAATAATAAATTGTTTTTCTTGATGTATATGATATAACCTACTATTTTTGCTATTCTTAACTAAAGTATTATTTAAATGGGAATTTAAGTCAATATTCTTATAGACCAGTCATGCATAAAAGTACATCCTAGTACGAACATAATAATTGTAATTGCACATGAAATAAATTGATAACTTGAAATGTCTTCTCATTTATTTTCATTATTACAACCAACATTACTAGTTTGCTCTAGAATTCTGTTGTCTAAAATCTATTGTTAGTAAACAATATTATCATCTGTACAATTTTATTTACAGGATTACGGATTTTCAGGCACTACATATTTCGTTGAATTCACCGAAGAAAACTTTCTTTTTTTACTTCAGCTGTATATTCGTATTTATAGTTCTATGGGCTATATTTATTTTTGTTAAAATGTAACCGTGATAGACTATTATTTTAAATATTAGGAACTTAAAAAAAGAGTAAATTCCGAGCTCCGAATATGATTCTATTATGATTGAACTGTGTTAATAAATGAAAAAACTATTAATTTTCCATAAATCAGAATTATCATTGTTTCATTCTAAAAAGAAACCCTTAGAAGCAATCGACTCTTTCTGTCATGATTATAAAGCGTTTGAATGATCCTATTGTTGATAAATTTCATTGAATTTTGTTTGATGAATCTTTGTTACTATATGCACATATTGTATGGATTGCTTTCGATATTGACAAATTTTTACAAGTTTTCTTTTTATAAAATAGACCGATAATTTGAAGAACTGAATATAAATTATACTTTTTGAATACTTATTGTACAAAATACATGTTGAAAAATATTGTTTTAAGAATAATCTGTTAAACATGACTCCATTTATACAATCATATATGATTGCTAGTACATAAGTGAGTTAATGTAAACATTTCGGTTTGTTTTTCCAACCAAATAAACAAAGTTTAATATCGACAAAATTTGTGAATATATTCGTCTGGAATTATATGTCGTAGTGAGAATTACATACATGTAACTAATTAAAGAAATAAATGATTTCTAAATATTGATTTTCTGATTCTTCTAGGTGTTATCAATTTCAGTTTTAAGCGAATAATATTTCTTATGGTTTAAACTTTAAAATATACTGAAAAAAAAATTTGATGCTGAACTGTTTACTGAAAGAACAGGGATACTGTTTAGCTTGTAGTTTCTTAGGTAATAGTCTGTTGAGATGTAAAAAATTATTTGCTAATTCACTTACTTATCCAATCAATAACAATTTTCGTTTTTTTATTATATATGCTTATGGTACACATACAGATTAAGAAAGTATAAACTATCCCCATCTTACCACATTTAATTGTAGTTATGATACATTAATATAACCCTTAGCGGAATCAGCAGTCAAGTTAGTTACTTGAAACAAATTACAGGTATTTCATGAATTCGTTTGAATACAGTCTGGATACATGAATTCTAGAGTTAACTTGCCCATGTTTGGATAAATAATTCGCTCAGAAATGATTCCATGGATTACTTTGCAAACTACCATGAAATATGGACACTATTTAAAGTAATCACCAATTAAGCACTTTGAAATAATTTCACTTGAGGTTGTCATTTTTTACAGTAGTTGTTATTAGTCCTAAAAAAATTGGTATAAAGATTGAGCTTCTTTGAATTCAGTTCGAAATAGAGTTCCAAGTAAACAGAGGTGAGGAGCCTTGTAACGTAATAAAGTAATTATTCGGATTTGTGTTACCTTGCTTTTCTGGACTGATCATTCATTGACGACCAGAGTGAACTGAACAGTTGATTTTGTCCTATCTTGAGGATTCCTAAACAACTGACTAATATTACCTTATCATTAGATTTATGTATGTTGACAGTTGTTATGTTCTACATTACCCCCTTTCTTTTCTCCCCAAATAGTATTCAAATAAAATAAAATGGGTTAGTTTAAGCAATACCGAACTTGAATCTGGCGTCACTTTTCTCATCATAATCACAGCAAAACAAACTTCAAAGGTCACCATGTGAATTTACAAGTACTTGTTTCTGCTGTTATAATTTACATTAATTTAACATAAAAATATTGCTTTTTCGTTTAAGCCTTTCGACATAAGTATGTTATTACTTAACCATGTTTTAGGTGACACGAAACAGCATTTTAACTTGATGGGATAATTATATCTTTGATTAACCGCTATTGTATATTCCTATTTTAAAAATTCATTAACAGAATGTACGCATATCTTAGTTTATCGTTTATCCTGAAGCATAAGCTCAGTACAAGGAGCTTCAAACACGAAAATGATATATACTGATATTCTGAGTCATGATATTTACCGACTTGTTTGATCAATATAATATTCACTCCTGATTTATTCTGTGGTTACTTAATTATGAGTGATCCAGGATGTGCGGATGTGACTTAATATCCTTTTTTAATATTCCTAAAGGGAGTTTTGTGAGTAAGTGAAATACTAAAATCATGTTAAACAAGAATAATTTTAAAATTTCAAAAACTAAGCATCATCTGACTGGATCATTAGTCTAACTTCATAGACCATTAAGTGGAAAATGCAAGTGTTTGGGACCTAGATGCACATGACTAGTTGTATGACAAAAACCAAATGTGATGTCACTTTGACCTGATTAATTAAATGGAAAATTTTAAATGACCTTTCATATTCAGTGTAATAAATTGATAAGAAATAACTCGTTTCTTTCATGTTATTTAAAACCTTGCTCATCTATATAATGTGTTCAATATATTATTAATATTACAATGACTTATCAATGCAGTACAAACTCACAAATTTCCAGCTTTTCAACAAAATCATCCATGTAACTGAGGTCAATCTTTGTTCTATTCACATAAAAAAACTGAGTAGATTATTACTCAAATATTAAGAAATACTTTAAAGAAATATATTACGCAACACTTTTATGTATTTTTTTTATTGAAACATTTGTTTGATATAAAACTTTATGTATCTACATTCTCAATTAAAAGTGTTCCTTGAGTAGTGGAAAAACTTGACATGAATATTATGAACTCATCAAATCTTTTGTGGTGCAAATGATGCATATATAACAGACAAGATAATTGGAAAATATTCATTATTTTCACATGAAATAAATACTAACTAGCTTTCTTTTCTTCAGAATGAATAGTTTGGATATTTAGATTACTATAATTAGTATTTCATATTACATATAAGCATAATTTTTATAAGATAATTTATCTTGACCAGGTTTCAGAACATGATAATTAAAAGTATGTACATGTGAAAAAAGTTTCGAACAATCATACAAAGCATTATTGATTAATGCTGAATTCTTAAGATTTCGTGTCACTGTAATTAATTAGTGTATTTATCACGTAGTAAGCAGATATCTTTTTAGTATTGTTAATGTTTTACCTAACTTAATACGGATATTTTGTAGATAAGTAAAAGATTTCCTTACCGGTACAACATCAGAACATTACATTGATTATCGTCCATTAAAGTTAGCATCGATTTAAAAACTACATAGAGACTAATAAAAAATTAAATGACATAAAAGACCTAACATTGTATTCTAAAATTTCCAGAATAATTGGCTAGTGAACTTATCTCTAAATGAAGGAAATAACCGTCTCGATTTCTATAAATAAAAATACTAATTGATATTGCTTGATCATAAGAACACCTGTTAAAAAACGAGTGGAACATAATTTTCTTGAAAAAAGCTCTAATGTCAAATCAGCTGTACATAAAACGTTTGCAGGTAGACTATAGGGGGATTAGAAAAATTCCTTATCATAATTAAAAAACATGATTATAAACCAATCCCTGCAAGTAAACAGAAAATATTTATATTTTATAGTGACGCTCCATCAATCCCTATTAAAATAGGGTATCGCTAAGTAATCTAACCTGAGAATTGATTTAGAGAGCTACTGATATTCAATTTGATCTCTTTTAGCACATATTTGGTCCGTTTTGCTTCGGTTTTAAGCTAAGATATTTGGTAAGCGTGTTGTAATAGTGTAACAAGCTTTTTAGATTGGTATGTTCATTTACTTGTACTACTATTAGCATGCAGAGAAAATCAGGTAGCTTTCTTTAGAGGATTGCTAACGACGTCCATTAATGATCCCAAATGTCCTAGCCACCCACCAAACTCAAGCAATTGTTGCGGTTGTCCCTGTCATGTTGTATAGTTTTGTTTTATTTTCCGATATTCATTTGATAGTTTGAGGACTGTCATCACTTATCAACACCTAACAACACATTTAGTGTGATTATATTTTATAATCTTTCTGACTGTTCAATATTCAACTGGTCATCGTTGATCATATTAAATTCCTTGGTAAAAATCCTTGCCAATGAATTGGAAACTTATCTAATGTCTGATAACACTTTTTATTTCAATTAGATACAAACTGGATTACTATAGAATATCAAGAATTTCTATGCTTACATATAATATAACTGATTTGCCTGTTTATAGTTTAATTCATTTTGAAGGGAGTAATGTAAGTACTTTAGTTAATTAAACGAAAATACTAAGAATTATTCCATTATTGTTGTATCGAAACAGAAGAAGCATTATCAGCAGAAGTACAAATGACTGATGATAAAATATTTATGTTTGTCAATATGATAGTATAAATAGCGCTACTGTATATATGAAGTTTTCCGAATCGGTTCCTTCTTTATCAAACAATTATAGATACAAATGTACAGTTTAAGTAAATGATTTAGTCAAAAAGGTAATTCTCTTGTTGAATTCTCTTTATTTTTATTCAATGAAGTTGAATTTGAAGTGATAGAGAAAAATAAAACCATCAAAAACTAGAAGAGATAACATAATTAGTGCAATAGTTAAGATTAATCAGTACTTATATGCTGAACATGAATTCCTTTAAAGAAAGGAGCGATATCACAAATAATAATTAAGATATAAAATGGAAAAGCAACTTTCATAGCAAATGGGCAATAATAAGGTCGAATGTTTAAAATATAACTTAAACTAAGGGGATTATGCACTTGACGCACTACAACGATTGGTTTACTGCACTTCCTTTCTGTATGCAAGGGTCACGTTGAAAGCGTTTGATGTCAAATTCTTATACGAAGCATTATTCTCTGCTAGTTAAGTATTTTTAACGTCTTTGTGGTATTCACGTTGTCCACTGACTATAAAATGTTTAGTGAATGCACCTGTAAGCACTTCATTTCTTTCCAGTTTTCGAGGAATATGTTTAGAAAGTCTTGTAAGTGTTCTTCTTATAGTCCTTCCTATGTACTTGACATTACGAGCACATATACATTTATAAACAAAATTGGAGGTGATCTTAGAAGGGTATCGATACACGTTAGTTGGTTTAAGGATCATTTAATGTTATATACTGAAAATACGAATCGCGGATTTCAAATTTAAAAAACGTTTGTAGCGGATTGCGAGACGGCCATTTTACTGCAGAAAGAATATTGGGTCCCCGATGATGACAACTCTAGGGTCAATTTACATTCATCTGATCAATCTCAAATAAAAAGAAACGCAGACACTAGATTCCACTGCTACTTGCAAGCTAAAGACACTAAAATTTGTAACTAAAACTTTGTATTGGGGAACATGATGAGGAGCTAGATATGTCAATATATGCATCGGAATTTCGGTTAAACTAGTGATCATTCGGATTCATTAACTCACACATAACCCGTTGACACTTAGAGTGATAGATTCAGGGCTCAAGGCTCAGCATAAATGCAAACCTCGGGATGAAGGTACACTCATATGACAACTTTCGAATAGGGCGAAGAGGGTATCAAGGATATCACTGGGGATCAGAATTCAAATTTACCAAAAACTACAAACCTTAAAACGTATCGTCTGGTTAATTCTTACTTATTTGCAAGTTATTTAACTAGTTGATGATCAAAAGTTCTTTATATTCATATTATTTGTTATAAGATACTGATATTCGAAGACATTCTTACTTCTGTTTAAAAGATTACTCTCAAATCGGTAGACTAATGACAGCTTAGACATATTGCAGACAGTTTGGAC